TTTATTCTTAAGTCCGATCACTGATGAGTTCACGTGAAATAAAATATACATGTTTGAAGAAAAATGTATTCATTTATTGATAAAATATGCTCAAATTGGCGACCTTCTACTCTAATACAAGTTCGGCACCTTTTAAGAAAAGACGCTTTTAGAGATCTTAAACTGAATTGGGCTATCTCAGCAGCAGCTCCATTTATTTGTTCCCGCAAATGCTCTTCGTTTTGAATTGTTTTTGAATAAATTTTGTCCTTAAGACAGGCCCAGTAGAAAAAATCTAATGGATTCAGGTCTGGCGATCGAGCGGGCCACGTGATTGGCCTGTATCGTCCAATCCATCGGCGAGGATAAGTTTCGTCTAAATGAGCTCTTACTTTATGCCCGTAGTGAGCAGGGCAGCCGTCATTTTGCAGACATAGTCTTCGCCGCAGGTTTAAGGGTACATCTTCTAAAAGAGTGGGAGTTGAGCGTTGGCGGCAGTTCCACAGGTCCCAATATCTGACAATTAAAAATACCGCACCATAAATTTATTTTGTATCGGTACTGCGAACGATCTCCTCTCATTTCGTGAGGATTGTCTATCTGCCAACTGTGAAGGTTATGTAAATTAAAATAAATCTAACCCTTGACCCTCTCTTTCTTGTAGAGCCTGATCACGTTGAATGTGGTAGGGATGAAATCGATGGTCTATTAAAGCTTTGTGAACTGTAGTTTTTGGTATTCGCGTCAGTCTTTGCATCATTCTCACTGAAGTCGATGGACCTAGTTCCACTTCCTCTAACACAACTTCAACATCTACCGTTGCAGGACGTCCTGTCTCACCGCCACGCCTTCCAGGTATGCGACCTTAAAAAAGTTAATAATGATAGTTAAAAGAAGAATGGCTTCAAACAAGAAAGGCGTAAAAATTACTTACCTTCAGATATTGCTCTATGGGTGCGGGGGAATACTTCACGACCCAGATGCCGACGATTGGGGTATCGCTCTGCATAGAGTCTTTGAGCAGCTCTAGCATTACAGCAAGCTTCACCGTAAATTAGGTGAATATCCGCATATTCATGCGACGTATACTGCGTGTTCTCTGGCATAGTATTAATAACACAATATTCGAAGGGTCCAATTTCACAAAATCCACTTCCACTAATTCCGGTAAGTAACATAAAATGTCAGGAGCAGGTAATAATGTACCTTTGTACTATTTAGCATGTCATTGGTCGGTAACAAGAGCAACTTAAATTTAAATCTATTAAATACATTCTAGCGTGTCTCAGTCCTTTGCCAACAAAAGCGGCTATAACTTTTTTTTCTATTCGAAACAGTAAGAGTGCCACCTTTCTGAAATCTTTATTAAATGAGCAATTTTTAATGTAAAGTAAAGTTATAGCTCAGTACATTTTTTTTTCACCAGAGATAGTCAAAGTTGGAGAAGAAATTATCAAAAAGTTAAAAATCCCAAAATAGTCCTAATTTTATGATGGTTCCTTAATATATTTTAACTAAATTGCATTTGAGTATGGAGAAGCAACTATCTGGAAGTATTTTACATAAAAAATTTACTAAGTATAGCCTGGTTTGTAGATGCAGTTAAAGAAAATACATGAAAAGGCACATTTTATTTTTTAATTAAAAAAATTTAAATATTTCAAAAACGGCGACACGTTTACCTGAAAATTTTTCGTTTATCAGAGAGCTCACCCCCCCCTACCTTCCCCTAAAGTTTGGCAGGTTACTTCTGGGACACCCTGTATAAGTAAGGTCAGACTTGAAGAAAACCAAATTTCCTACTACTTCGGCCCTCACAATTTTTCTTCTAAAACCGATATTTTTTGAGGGGACAAGTAACACAAATAATTGAAATACTAAGGAGTAAAAAATGATAATTTGAAAAAAAAATACATTTAGAATAAAATAATAAATTTGAAAAAAAATAAAAAATTATGTGTAATGACAGAAGAATATGAGAGACAAATGAGTCGAATTTCATGAAATAATGTGTTAAAAAAATAAAAATAAAATGAAAAAATATACTTAAAAAAAAAACAAATTTAAGTACAAAAAAGTAAATTAATTAATGACGACAATTTTTTAAACACATTGGAAGTATTCCTAAACATGAATATTTGTTCGGCTATTTATTTGTAGCAGAAATCCAGTGTTTGGGACTACTACATTGTAAGACTGTAGCTGAGTTATTCACGAGGGAGGCATTATACCCAGTGTTGCCAGATATATATTCTATATTTTACTGCCTGCCCTTAAAAATTTCTCGAACAAATAATTTCTTTGTCAAAGCATAGATAGATTGTTAGAGGCTATGTACTACGACCTTAGGTCTATTGTGCCCATTATTCGTCGCAAATGCCCGATTTGATTGGCATTCACCGAATGAACTACATATATTTCTGATTTGCTTGCGTCAATATTTTGGTTCTTCATTTAGTGTAAAAAACAATATTACAAAATGGCAAGAGAACAAAAAAATACTAATTGGACGAACTCACAGACAGCAATGGGAATAGGAACCTTATATATGTACATATATAAATATTCTGACAATACTGGCACTGAAGACAAAGTGGATTGAAAGAATAAAAGCAAGAATTGAATTTATAGTAGACTAGTTCATAAAAAGACAAAAGAGGATTGAAAGAATAAAAAAAGAATTGAACTCATAGTAGTATAGTTCATAAGAAGACAAAGATGATTCTAAGAAAAAGAATTTAAGTTCACTAGGAACATCGTACATATGATAATCGAAATTTAAAAAAACAAAAACTTATTACCAAAATACTTGAATAGCCAATCTTCTTTATGTATTGCTCTCATCCAAATTTCGATAACATTCCATCTTATGTTCTATTCAGTAATTGCCAACGCATTATCTGTCCCTATCATAAAATATCGGTCTTAAAAGAAAAATCGTGGGGGCCAAAGTTGTAGGAAATTTGATTTTCTTCAAGTCTGAACCTATTTATTTATGCCGTAGATTTAAAAATGAACGAGATATAATGCAATATTTTGAGATTACCGCTTGTTTCAAGTTCATTTCGAACACTATCAATCTTAGAAGAAAAATTATAAGGACCAAACTTGTATAGAATTGAATTTCCTACAACTTTCGTTCGTATGATTTTTCTTAAAAATTAAAAATGGCCAAGTTATTCAATGAAAACCATTTTTTTGAAAAAAAAACAAAATTCGGACATGCGCAATCGCTGGATTTGGTCGCCACTTGCCATTTACACGGAGACTAATCCCCCGAGGGCATGAGATCCATAAAAAATTCGAGAACTAATTTTTGCGAGGTCAAAAGTGTATAATGACTGGACAAGGAGGGCGACTTTCAAACGCTGCAGCAGCCATGTCCACCACTGTTTGGAAAATGCAGCGGCGGTTTTTCTTGATGAGCATTGGTTTTTTGAGGACCTCGATGATACTCGGATCCTAGAGGCGAGGCGTCGCTTATCTCGCTGCAGCAACTGATACGGCTAATCAAGGGGGCTTGCAGCTTTAACTATTCGTATTGCCCAATCTTTCCCCTGTCTCGAGGAACAATCAGAATACGGAAAATTTAAATTTTTTTTTTTGGGCCCTGACTGGCCTTTGGCGAGGCAGCAGGCCCATTTCGTGTTCCCGCATGCATGACGTGACCAAATATATGTATGGCCTCTGGGACCCCTACTCTACTCGGTTTAGTTTGATGGGCTCTTAGACTATTTCCTTGCCCACCCCGGCATTGAGTTCGCCAAGCACTATTTCGGGCCCCGACGAAGTCAATCATCCTCAATCCGTGGTCGGCCGTTTCGTCGTGGAGGCTGAATTTTCCGACAGTGTTTCCAAAGATCCCTTCCTTGCCCACCCTAGCATTGGAGTCGCCAAGCACGGTTTTGATATCATGACGGGGGCAGAGCTCGTACGTGCGCTCCAAGGGCTCATAGAAGAGAGCCTTGGATGCCTCATCTTCCTCTTCCGTCGGGGCATGGGCGCAGATGAGCGAGATGTTGAAGAGTCTCGCTTTGATGCGGATTGTGGCTAGACGCTCGTCCACCGGTGTTAACGTTTGCTGTGGTCGGTTTGGCCCCGTGAATGATTTTATTTCTACTCCTTAATTTGCAGGTTGCCATGGCCCGATTTCACACAGTGGAAGATTGGTACCGGCCCCGTGCTCCAGCCATCAAATGATTGGAAACCGGTCTGCCCAGGACCTCCTTTCCTCACACTTCCTCCTGCGTCGCTTGTATTAGGACCAGCCCTGTCGCTTAAGCCCCCTCTGCCTCCTAACAATGGCGGTCTGACCCCTGCCCTGCTCGAGGCTGAAGCCGAAGTCGAAGCCACCCCTGTCGGTTTTTTGGAGGACCGTACTCCTTATTCGCTGTCAAAATCCATACAAATTGCATTACTGTGAAATATGCGTGAAAATTCACATGTGTCTCACGGCAAAGTAGTACTCAGATCACGCCGTGAAAACAACGTGCAACATGCTAGCAACATGACGCTCTCTGTTAAACTGTTTCGTTTTTATTTGAATAATAGTGGAGAACACAGCAGCTACCACAAAAAGGGCAAAAATCCAATTAAATGACGAAGAGAGGAAGAAATTACTGGCAGCTGTTAAAGGATTCCCATATATTTGGGACAAGCAACGAAAAGATCACAGTAACCGAAACTCACTTTCCAGCGCTTGGTACAAAATCGCGCAAATTTTCGTTAAACCTGGTAATTTCTAATATCTGAGTAACTATAGTATAGTGCATTTAATTTACTCATTGCCAAAATTTCAGAGGAATCCTGCAAAGCAGCGTGGAAGAGCCTTAGAGACAGCAAGCGGTACTATGCAAACAAGGCAAACAAATCGGGGAGTGCGTGCGATTTGGAGGATGTAAACTTTGCGAGTGAACTGGCTGAGTTCGAATACTCCGAAGACATGGCCTTTTTAAACGAAACGTCTTCGCAAAGAGTGTAAGTAAATCATCTTTATATTGTGTCAGTATGTATGTATTTTCCAGCATGGACGGTTTAGGAGCAGGCACCAGCTTCGACGAAAGTTTGGATCCCCCCGGCTATAATTATGTACGATTTAGTATAAGATACACCATTTGTTAACATAAACTATTTAATGAACGTTTTTCCTTTTCTATTTCCAGACGTCGACACCTAGCACATCGGCAAAGCGCTCCAATACCTCTAGCGCGGCTCTGCAATCTTCGGCAGAGAAAATTGTGGAGCAAATGGATAGTATTGTGGAGTTGCGAAAAGCGGAGATAACTCAGAAATCCAAGTTCGAACCCCTTTTAAAACACTTGGAGTCACTTCTGGAGCAGTTGCCGCAAAGCACGGCGAATATGTTAGGGGCGAAATTTACGCAAATGGCCTACGAGGAGGTTGAAAAGCACCAAACAAGTTGCAGTGAAATTTTATTTTATTTTGATATATTTTATTTGTTTTTCTTTTTGTTTTATTTTATTTTATTTAGTTAATTATATTTTTTTTTTGTTTTATTTTATTTTTGTTTTTATTTTTTGAAATTAATTTAAATTTTTGTATTTTATTTTATTTCTTCTGAGAGATTGAATTAAAGTTATTTTGATTTGTTTTACATTGTTTTGTTTTCTATATTTTATTCTGTTTTATTTATTTTATTTTATTCATTTAATTAAGTTTAATGTAATTTAGTTTTAAGTTAATTAAAATTATTTTATTTTACTTTATTTCATTTAATGGAATTGAATTTATGTTATTTTATTTTGTTCTATTTTTTCATCCTGTTGTGTGTGTTGTATATTAAACATAACAAATCTAAATAAAATAAAACATTAATGAACTTAAACTTATTTTCATTTTGATTTAATATTTTGCTTTAAATTTATAATTCAAAGAAATACATGTACTGTTTCAATATACATACTGAAGGTACATATGGATGTAAAACGAAAAATAATATTGAATATTGCAATCCGGTGAAAACGAAATTCTTTCGGTCTTGTGATCTTAAATTAGGAAAAAGGAAGGAAAAAGAAAATTTCTAAAAATAAATAAATAAACAGGAATGGCAAACAATATCACTTTGAAATGTGGGTGCCATTGATATGACCGATACTGAATGTATATAGTTCATTAGGCTAAGCGCATAGTCGAGCGGTAAGCAAAGAGCATCGATCAAAGCGCCAATTACTAAAATGTTTCAATGGGAGCGCACATAGTGAAGAGCAAAGCTTACATACACGTTTGAAATGTACGCTTTGCTCGATGATCATCTCGTCGATTTGCTCGGCGCTCCTCTATGCGCTTAGCCTTAGGTATAAGCCATGCCATTCTTAAGGCCCGTTTACATACAACTTTGGCGTTGCGTTGGCGTTGGTGTCGCCTCGACAGCTGACTATGAATACATGCATTTATATGAAAGTCTCCATATAACCAGAGTTGGGCAACGCCAACTCCAACACAACGCAGAAAGATGGCCAACTCTCAACTTTTCGCGCGCGTCGTTCGTCAGCTGTTCTAAATAATCAAAATTATGTGATTTAATTTTCATTTTTAATGAAATTCGGGCAAGAAATATAGTTTTTAATGCAATTATTGATGTAAAATTTTGATTTATCTGCCGCTAGTATGTTAATTTAGTGACCAAAGTATTCTCTGCTAAGCGTTCATTGTAGCAAGCACGGGCGTTACTCGCGCTGCTGTCAAAGCGACGCCAGCGCCAACGCAACGCCAAAGTTGTATGTGGACGGGCCTTTATTTAATCTAAACAAGCTGCTCTGCGCTGACAGGCTATCGATCCCTCTTCAGAATTAAAAAACGCAGTCAGATTTTCTCGAACTTGAGATTGTGAAAGCCTTCCAGCTTGAACGCTGCGCACTTCCGATGAAAAAAGGGAGTTTGCAGGGATGTGGTGGGGAAATTCGCCTCCTACCACTTCTCCGAATTCGCTGTAGTCATCGGCGTAATTCGAAGGACAATATTGAGCTCTACGAGTCCTTATCAGGTAATTATGCAAATAGCAGCACGCAACTACTACTTTTTGTGCTTTTTTCGGGGAGCAAAACATTTTTCTGAGAGGCAGTAGAACTTCGAGCACAATATTCCAAATGTATTTTCAATGCATCGCTGCGCTCTGCTAAGTCTATAATTAAATATCGGATGCTCTTCTTCCAGCCTCCTGTTTCGCGATGGTACATATGGTTTCATAATCCGCACGTGCAATGGAAAAGCATCATCTGCAACAAAAACATAAAACATAACAGCTTCCGGAAAAGCGAGTGTTCCACTTAGCACCGCTTTTCCGAGGGTACATTTTTGAAATATTTTTTTTTTTTTTTCATTCATTCATTCATTTATTTGATCTAAATCAGTACAATTCAACTTATGGATTAAACACGACCTGCGAAGCTATAGTGGTTGTCTGCAGGTGAATACGCAAGGCGATTATATATATATGTATATTTATAAGTAAAATAAATGCATATGTGTGTGCAGCAGTTTAATGTCGGAACTAACAAATGTTATAGTACTTTAAAAAATTTAAGGAAATAAATACAAGTACAGTTTTTCGCACACTTAACTATTTCTAACTTGTTACTTACAACAAAGTTTTAAAATGATTTCTCAAGGCAAATTTTCTGCTTGGTGTTTTAGGCAAATTAGATGGAAGCTGTACTGAGAGTGTATTTTTTGTATAATTCAAAAATTTTGGCACTTTGTCTATACATCTCCGAGTACCGTAGTGATGGTCGATCTTTACTTTCAGACTATTATCGTCATAAAATTCGTTTAGAGTAGTCAATTTATAAATGGATTTAACGTCGAGTAATCCTAGAACTTTATTAGGTGAGATGGATGGCGTATACACATTCTTACTTTTGGCCAGAATTTTTAAAATGTGATTTTGGCTTTGTTGAAGTTTATTTAAACCATTCGAGGTACCCCATGCTGTGATCCCGTGTCTTAAGTATGACTCTGATAAGGCTATATAGGCTTGCTTAAGGACGGCGTAGCTACTGCAAAAGCTTAGATGTTTGAGGAAGTAAGACGTAGATCTTCAGGGCTATCACGGAATCCATCGTAGCAAATCTACGAATTCAAATGTCCGCTACGAATACGAAAAAATTGCTATCACTGAATCCGAGTGAACTCGAAAATATCGTTGCCAGCTTCGAATGCTGATTCGAAATCAGTTAGTGCAAAGGAAACAACAGACATTTATGTATGTCATTTTGCTCACGCTGCCCCATCAGGCGCAATGGCCCAGTGTGCAAAGCACTAGACTGCCAATTGAGAGAGCCGAGTTCGAGTCCGAGTCGTGGGGCAGCGGAGATTTTTTTCTTTTTTTATTTAATTTTTGTTTATTTTTTTAATAAATATTTTTTTTTTTAGTTAATTTTTAGCTTAGATTTTATTATTTTAAATAGAAAAATATTTTTTTCTTTAAATTAATTTTTATGATATTAAAGTAATTAGGTTTATTTCCTAATAAATTGTTGCTAAACTATTATTTCCTCGATATGTATGGCATTGGTATTTTACGTCTACGTTTACACAATCATATGGAATTATATCAAACTATAACAAATTTGGAGTATAATAAATATTTAATATTAAAAATAATGCAGCTTTCTTCCACTATTTTTTAAGATTGAGTGATTTTAAATTTGGTTCCGACAGCATAATCTCGTCGTAGAGTGTCTGTACGAATCTTCATTACGAACGGATTCAATGAAGGCTCTCTACGAATTTCGAATTTACGTTCGTAGTCATTCGGATTCTGTGATAGCACTTTCGTAGATTTCACGAAAATCGAAGCTACGATGGATTCTGTGACAGCCCTGTTTATCTTTTTTTGGAGATGGGAAATATGAATATCCCATTTAAAATGATCGTCTAAGATGACTCCGAGGTATTTATATGAACTCACTCTCTCCAAGACGGTAGTGCATGTGCATTGTTGGACATTGCTATGTAAGCAGTTGGTGTTGTGAAATTTTAGTCTAACATTTGAGGGGCTAATGTGTGGTGGTCTGATATGCATTACCTTGGTTTTATGCCGGTATCTCCTTCGATTCCGTATGCCCCGATGTCCAAGTAGGTAAACTTGTAGTCACCATCTGCTGCAGCCATTAGTACCAAGCTGAACAATCCCTAATAATTAAAAAAATACACCTTTTTTATACCTACGTAAGAACCGCATTAATAAAAAATCGATTGGACCCGACACACATTTCTTCCGAGCATTTATACCTGCATCTTTAGAGCGTATTCAAAAGTAAACAAAGCTCAATAACACTATTAAAATAAATATTAACACGCCTCAATAAAATTGACAAAATCAAGTGACCTTCTGACTAGTTTTAGCTATTTTTATTTTGTTTATTTAATGTTAATATTTTTTTTTTAAGTCTAGCACTTTACCTAACTAGCCCCACATAAATCCACATTTCAAACTTCATACAAAAAATATGAATACTCAACTAACTAACATTTGCACTCGAAAATTGTAAACATTTTATTCAGAATTTTTAGAAAAATTTAGGGTATGCAGTTTTGTAGCTCATTAAATATTAGTAGGTTGCAGTGCAAATTTCAAGACGCTATAAAATCGCGTTATTTTTAATAATTTTTTTGCTGATGATGCTTGGCATTTTCTCCCATACAAAGGAAATTGTCGAGCATATTTTATATGGAAGAAAGTGCTCAACCCTAAATTTTTCTTAAAATGCCCAAAACTAGTCAAAATTTCACTTGACTTAATCAGCTAACCACAAGTGTATGTCAGTATAAACAAGGTTATAGAAAAACTCGAATGACCTAATTCATAAAAAATAAAGTAGGTTTAAAAAGCTTTATAAATTGACGTTTTCATACATTTCCCAATTTATAAACCTTTTGTAAAGCTACTTTATTTTTTATGAATAAGGCTATAAGTTTATATAGAAGCTGAAAATGCTTCCCATTGCACTGAATGTATACCTTATAATTATAAAAAGGCATCCAGAATTGCGTGGACACCGGCAACATGCTTGACATCGAGGGCACCTCCACAATTGGGAAAATTTGACTTGTTAAATGTGTATCCAATACGATGTATTTCTGCAGGTCATGGTGAAATAAGGCCCAGTCTCCACAGGAAAACACTGATGTCGTGATAACTATGTCACAAAATATATTTCCAATGGAGACCGCCTATTTCTCATGTGCTGCAATATATGTCAGCGCTTATTGCTTGACATCTATTGCAGGCAATTCGATAGCTTGACAGCCATATTTTCATTTGAAAGATAGCATGCTGGTGGTAACATCGATGAAATTTTTATATTAAATCAAAATAAAAGTCTGTTCCTTATTGGATTATTTATTATTACGTTTAGTTTTTTAAAGATTTAAATGTTTTTAAACACCGAAATTGAGAGAATGTTGTCTGGTGGCGTCATGCGGCAAATGCTTATTTCAAGACATCAAAGTGCCACACACAAAAACTTGCAATCACATTGCTCGTCAAAATGACAGTTGGTAGGCCATCGGTGTTTGCCTGTGGAGTTCTGCGGTAATAACAAGGTGTTGTCAGTAGCGACGTGTTTGTTGTAATTTTGACAAGATCGGCATGCTTATTTTCAGTGCTGCCGATCTTAATTTTTTATAATGCTATTAGTTGGGAAATTGTATTTAAAATACTCCATTTTAGTATTTCATTTTATCGTGATTTTTAAAGAACTTGGTGTTTTCAGAACGATATTAATATTTAAAATTGCTGGATTTGTATAATTTTTGTCCTCAAAATATAAAATATAAAAGATATCCAGGGCTATCACGGAATCCATCGTAGAAAATCTACGAATTCAAATGCCCGCTACCAATACGAAAAAATTGCAATCACTGTGTAAGAAGTGTAAAACCTTCTGGTAATCCTATTTAGGAACTTCCATTGTAAATCAACGTGGCAGCACTTGGGTAACCTTTTTGACTTTCAAGTCATTCCATTGCTTTTGCTGCTAATAGCTACCACGCGGTTTTACAAGTCGTTCAATTAGACAATTAATCTGTAGCTTGAATTGCATTTATTGAATAAACTGTTCCGTAAATTAACATTTGGCGACGAGAACATGGACGAACAAACCCTTGCGTCAGTTCTGAATCAATTTCAAGAGAAAAACCAAGCATTACTGGCGAAAGTGCTTGAGCAAAATGTACAATCTCTTTAACGTGTACTTGAAAGCGACACACATACGAGCAATACGCCTGTGTTCAGGCAGTTTAATAAAAGTATCGAAAAATGGCCTACCTACATCCAGCAAATGGAGCAGCACTTCGTGGCGAATGGAGTTGTAAACGAAACTCTTAAACGGGCAAGTTTTCTGTCGTGCATAGAAATTATGCGATAACGTAATAGAAGGGAAGTCTTACAGTGAGCTATTGGCAAAACTATCTACACATTTTGTCGAAAAACAGCACGTGCTCGCCGCGCGTTTCAAATTTTTTTCCATCAGAATGAAACCAAACCAGTGTTATGCGGACTGGGTGGCAGAACTCCGGGGAGCAGCTAAGGAGTGTATTTTTCAGTGCTCGAAAGAAAATTGCAACGAATCATTCATCGATAACAGCATACGGGATATGATAGTGATGCACACCCCACATGATAAGGTCCGTAGCACAGCGCTTCAAAAAACAAATCCGATCTTAGATGAAGTGCTACAAATCGCAACTATATTCGAGTCGACGGTAAAGACTTGCAGCGAGATTCGGGGAGAAAACCTCAAGGCAACCGACACAGTTTATAGGGTTCAGCACACAACCAAACAGCGTGGTAGTCACGAGCGTAAGTCCAGGATTTTAGCAGCAGTAAGTAAATCGTGTCCAGGGTGTGGTACAGCTCATACAAGAGAGCAGTGTTATCATTTCAAAAACAAATCGAAATGTCGTCAATGTGCCAAGAGGGGGCACATCGCTTCTGTATGTCAATCAGAAGGCACACACAAAGCCTCTACGAGGCGCTATGGTAGCAAAATGTCGCAAAAAGAAACTGCGAATACCCTTGATGTGAACGAAGCATCGTTCGAATCAATTGGATTGCTCGAAACCATAAATTCAAGTAGATAGTGAGGACAAGCCTACAAAAGTATTTGTCAAACTCAACGTAAACAAGCAAAGCCTAAAGTTTCAGGTGGATACAGGCGCTTCGTGTTCTCTAATCGGGTTATCCACATATGTTGGGAAGACCACCGTACTCGCCAACTCAGAAAGTTTTGAAGGCGTACGGAGGAAGCATAATACTACTGAGAGGCGTTATTCAGGTTGATGTTACTCACGGAGGAACTACTAAGAGGCTTCCAGTACTTTTAGTAGAGAGTGATAAAGCCACAAATATTAAGGGACTCGATTAGTTTCAAACGTTAAATTTTAGTTTAGTTATACCCACCGGAGAGTGTTATGCTAATAATTCTTACATTACAGGACGGGCATCAGAAACAAGTTTGATCGTTGAGCTGCAGCAACTCGCTCGCGAATATCAAAGGATTTTTTCAGCGGACCCAAGGTCTTTGCACGACGTTCAAAGCTGAAATTAAGCTCAAGCCAGATGCTCGGCCGAAATTCTATAAACCATACAACCTACCGTTTGCACAATACGATGAAGTCCGCGATGAAATAGAGCGGCTGGTTAAGGCAAAGGTCTTAACAGCAATTAAAGCAAGTGAGTGGGCCGCGCCGATAGTCGTGGTCAAGAAACCGAAGGGAGGTGTGCGTATTTGTGCTGACTTCAAGGTAACGGTAAATCCTCAAATTGAAATAGATAGATATCCAATACCCAGGATAGAAGAACTCTTCCACAAACTGCAAAACGGTAAATTCTTTACAAAAATTGACTTAAGTGAAGCTTATCTTCAAGTGGAGGTATCAGAAGAAGCCAAACAGTTTTTGGTAATCAACACCCCATTTGGACTATACCAATACCAACGTATGCCTTTTGGTATAGCTAGTGCACCGGGGCTGTTTCAGCGCCTCATGGAGAATGTGATAGCCCGAATCCCATATAGTGCCGTGTATCTGGACGACATTATTGTGTCGGGTCGAACCAACGAGGAGCACCTGGACAACGTTAGAACCGTTTTTCAACGATTATTGAACCACGGGCTAAAGTGCAAGTTAGCAAAGTGCAGTTTTGCAAAAGATCGAGTTGAGTATGTGGGACATATCATCGATGCTAATGGGATACTACCGTCCGAAAAGAAAATTGAAGCGATCAAACTTATGCCCCGACCGCAAAATATTCAGGAACTAGAAGCATTTATTGGAAAGATAAATTATTATAACAAGTTTGTGGGAAACTTCGCAAGTATTGCCGCCCCTTTAAACATCTTGAGAAGGAAACACAACCACTTTAAATGGTCTTCGAGTCAAGAACCCGCTTTTCAATCTCTGAAACTGGCAATCATCAAAGCTACGCAGCTGGTCCATTACGATGACCGTCAACCTATAATACTGGCTGTAGATGCCTCAAAGCATTACATTGGTGCTGTGATATCACATCACTATTCCGATGGTTCGGAAAAACCAATTGCACATGCGTCTAAAATCCTCAACACCAGTCAATTGCGATACTCCCAAGTAGAGAAGGAAGCATTAGCCATTATATAGGGGGTAACTAAATTTCATCAATATCTTTACGGAAGAAAGTTTGAACTCCTCACGGACCATCAAGCGTTAACGACATTATTTCATCCATGTAAAAGACTGCCAGTGATGACGCTACATCGCCTTCAACGTTGGGCGATTTTACTACAAGCCTACGAATATACAATACGTTACAGAAAGTCTAACGAAAATGCCAACGCGGATGCGCTTTCCAGATTGCCAGCGGCAAACGATCCGGAATTCGATGAGGAGGAAAGTAGCTGGGAAAATATCGATACCGCTTATCAGATCACAGTAGAAGGGTTTCCGCTGAATGCTGAAATCTTCAAGGAGTATACGAAGAAAGATGAAACTCTTAAACGCATTTGCAATTATGTTAGAGACGGTTGGCCCGTCAACATTTCGAAATCTGAAGGTAAACTCCTACCATATATTAATCGCAAGTTTTCGTTATCCTTACAGAGTGATGTACTACTCCTTCACACTGAGCATACAAGAGTAGTAATCCCAAGCGCCTTACGGAATAAGGTACTGGCAATGCTGCATGAGGGTCATTGGGGAAAAAGTCGAATGAAGCAGATGGCAAGGCGTTACGTATGGTTCCCTGGCATCGACAAGGACATAGAACGTATTCACGACAATTGCGCTATTTGCCAGACAAATGGGAGGCAACCCAAACGGGAATTTTTGACCTGACCCGAACCTATGACACCGTGGGAAAGAGTCCATGTGGATTTTGCGGGACCATTTTTTAATCGAATGTGGCTGCTTCTGGTGGATGCTTATTCAAAATTCCCGTACATCTTGGAAGTTGCATCCACATCATCAATATCAACAATCGCAGCACTACAACGTATTTTCTCAATTGAGGGACTGCCTTGCACTATCGTCTCGGACAATAGACCCCAATTCACGGCACACGAATTTGAAAGTTTCTGCAAGCTGAATAATATCCAGCACCTCACCACTCCTCCGTTCCATCCAGCATCCAACGACCTTGCAGAGAGAAATGTGCTAACATTCAAAGAAGCGTTCAGCAAAATAATGGAAGAGGAACAAGTGGAGCGAGCGCTCTATAAATATCTCACGACATATCCAACGAGCCCGAATCCCTTGACGGGTAAATCACCGGCTGAGCTGTTGCATGGACGACAGCCACGAACCATACTGTCGACTTTGTTCCTCGTAGTCAATGAGAAAATATGTAACCCGAAACCAACGAAATTCAAAAGTGGAGAACAAGTCTTTGCGCGAAATTATTCTGGAGCCCGACGATGGTTCGAGGCCAAAGTACTGAAGTGTGAGGGAAATAAGCTATAGGTCTTGCAGACCCCTACTGGTTGGATCCGCCGGCATCAAAACCAGCTGAGAGGTAACAAACTAAATGAGTCGTCAGAACAAGTCGATGTTGACATTGATTTGGAACCTGCGGACTCCTTATCGAGAAAAAATAGTACACAAGTGCCTCGCGATGAACCACCTCATCACTCAACTGCGCAGACGCCGCCTAATAACGAGCAGACATATCGTCAGTTACCGAAAACCAGTACCAATTCACCATTAACGCCGCTCAGACGTTCGCAAAGGATAAGAAAGAAACCTGTTGAAATTAAATCTTTAAAAAATATATATTAATTTTGTAATATATACAGAAAATTAAGCCCAGGGGAATGTAAGAAGTGTAAAACCTTCTGGCAAACCTATTTAGGAACTTCCATTGTAAATCAACGTGGCAGCACTTGGGTAACCTTTTTGACTTTCAAGTCATTCCATTGCTTTTACTGCTAATAGCTACCACGCGGTTTTACAAGTCGTTCAATTAGACAAATTAATCTTAAGGAATCTGCTGTAACTTGAATTGCATTTATTGAATAAACTGTTCCGTAAATTAACACACTGAATCCGAGTGAACTCGAAAATATCGTTGCCAGCTTCGAATGCTGATTCGAAATCAGTTAGTGCAAAGGAAACAACAGACATTTATGTATGTCATTTTGCTCGCGCTGCCCAATCAGGCGCAATGGCCGAGTGTGCAAAGCACTAGACTGCCAATTGAGAGACCCGAGTTCGAGTCCGAGTCGTGGAGCGGTGGAGATTTTTTTCTTTTTTTATTTAATTTTTGTTTATTTGTTTAATAAATGTTTTTTTTTTTAGTTTATTTTTAGCTTAGATTTTATTATTTTAAATAGAATTTTTTTTTTTTTATAAATTTTTATGATTTTAAAGTAATTAGGTTTATTTCCTAATAAATTGTTGCTAAACTATTATTTCCTCGATTCATGAAAAATATTAATTCATTAAATAGCGTCTAGCAGATGAATGCGTGTAAGTACATATGTATGTATGTATAGCATTGGTATTTTACGTCTACGTTTACACAAATATATGGAATTATACAAACTATAACAAATTTGGAGTATAATAAACATTTAATATTAAAAATAATGCAGCTTTCTTCCACTATTTTTAAGATTGAGTGATTTTAAATTTTGTTCCGACAGCATAATCTCGTCGTAGAGTATCTGCACGAATCTTCATTACGAACGGATTCAATGAAGGCTCTCTACGAATTTCGAATTTACGTTCGTAGCCATTCGGACTCTGTGATAGCACTTTCGTAGATTTCACGAAAATCGAAGCTACGATGGATTCTGTGATAGCCCTGATCGTAGTTGTCAATGGAAAAAGACGTACACAAAAATCGTATGGAAGGCGATTTTTTTATATTAAATATCTTTTGCTGCATTGCCATAATATCGAGCCAAATGGACTACTGATACACTAGAATAGAGCGGCAGCATGGTTAAATTACGACTTCGCTTATATTATCGATATTTATGTGTTTTAATCTATATATCAGCCGCTGTGGCGTAGTGGTAAGCAGTGCGAGCTCCACTCCGCAGCACCTGGGTTCAAGCCCTGGTCAAAGCAACATCGCAAAAAATGTAGAAAAAAGGTTTTTTCTTCGGTCGTCCCCCGGCAGGCAATGGCAAACATCCGAGTGTATTACTGCCATGAAAAACAGCTTCTCATAAAAATGCAATCGCCGTTCGGAGTCGGCGTAAAACTGTAGGTCTCTCCGCTTTGTGTGACAACATCAAGGCGCACGCCACAAGTCGGAGGAGAAGCTCGGCCAAACACTAAGGCCCTTATTATGAGCTGCATTCGATTTTCGATCTTCGCTGGCTATCGAAGATCGAAGATCGAAAGTGAAATTCGTATTATGAGCTATGCAAGCGTGTCGAAATTTTCGTTGAGTATCGAATTTTCTGTCGAACAGAATTTTGCTTTCGATGGTGTAGCGAAGTGTTAGAAAATTGTGAAAAATTTATGATATTGTGTATGTTTTCTTACATTTTGGCGGCTAGACACTAATTTTAAACACTTTTTATTAATTTCATGCAGTTCTAACATCGTGAATACTAAACACAAGCACGAAAGGCTGGTTTTACTTGTGAAAGAAAATCCCAATACTCTGTTGGCACGATCTCTGAGAACAAAATCGTAGCGCTGTTGATAGTTTTAAAATATTTTAAATAGATTTGGCTCACAAACGCCTCTTTAGATGGTCGGAACTTTTTAATGAATCTGTAGACAAATTTCTTAAATATATTTTATATCAAAATATATTCGAAAGACTAATAAACTTAAACTCTCTTAAACATTTGCTACTCCTGGCCAGTTTACTAAGCTCTCATCCTCTGACGAATCGTTGAACCAGAACTCGTTGTACTCATTTTACCACGTTTTTATAAACTCGCTTTCTTTTTTACTTCATTTTAATTAGAACAAATTTACATAAATATGTATAAGCACACTATTTAGTTTGCTCGATTTGTAAACAAAGCTTCTCAGCGGTGAAAAATATACTATTGTGAACAACCTAAACGAGCGAAATTCACAATAGCGCTATTCTTCATCGAATGAGCGCCATAATACCAAATGAAAATTCGTTCGCTCAGCACTTTCGACCACAGTCGAAAATCGAATGCAACTCATAATAGGGGCCTAACATATGTGTAAGCGCCAATCTATTATTATTATTACTAATCTATTTAAAAAATCATTTACAGTTTTATAGGAAATTGCCTTATTTTACGGCCTGTACTTTTTTATAAGTTACAATATATGTACAACCTGTGTGGAGCTTACGATACAAACATATATTCAGGCTTATAAGCCTGTTATTAAACATTTTTCTACATTTAATTTGAAATAGTATGCACGAACGAATTAAAAGTAGTAAATAAGTAGTACTTTTTCTACTACTTTAAAATGCGTGACCGGAAGAGACCTGCCGAAAAAGTGAGGTTAAGTTACTGACAACACCTTGTTATTATTACACCATGTCTGCAGGTGTTAGCGGTAGAATTTCCTTGCCTAACGCAGAAATAATGGCGTCGCAAACTTCGACTAAAATGATTCCAAAGTGTTGTTTGCTTATACGGTAAACAGACGCAACATGCCGTTGCAGTGTTCCACAAGCAAAGTACCTTATTAAGTAAAATAAGATGTATTAAATTAACATAGCAATTGTTAAGTTAAATTGAGGGCATGGACTTACTCCAACACGACAGCCAGCTATTGCTTTGGAGAAATTTCATCGTTTGGCCTTGTTCGCTTTTTAGGTTGCAGTTGAGGATGAACCAGCTCATACAACTCGTTGAAACTAAATACATCCATATGAAAATTCTCCTTGAACTGTTTTTCATTGGCAGCTAGGTCATCAAACTGCAAATGATTGTTTGAGTAGATTTCGGGAAAATTAATGTATGCAATTAAATTACATATAATTGCGTCCTAGACCGCTTGACCAATCATAACATAAACAAGTCGAGGAGCGCCAGGTTACACTTACATACAGCTGCGGTCAATAAGATAGTAACAAAATTCAAAGTTATATTTGTTGCAACTTATGTTTATTTATACCGCATAAATAAAAATTTTAAACCTGGAATAAGTTCACACAAAATAATCAAACTTAAAAAAAAACATGAAAATTTCAAACTTACTAATCAAAAATTTTTGAAAATATGCGGAAAGTATGCGGTTTTGTAGCGCATTCAATTTTGTAAAGTAAAATACAATTGCTTCTGGGGTGATGCACCTACTCTTCTGGATGCTAGTGGTTGTGCCAGAAGCTCGCAAAACTCTCCAAATGCTGCTAAATGTAGTTAAACCTGTTAAAAAGAATATAATTAGTTATCTTATTATGTTTGAACACATTATTCTTACCAAAATTTCGTAATTGCTTCTGGGGTAATGCACCTACTCTTCTGGATGCTAGTGGTTGTGCCGGGAGCTCGCAAAACTCCCCAAATGCTGCTAAATGTAGTTAAAGCTGTTAAAAATAATATAATTAGTAATATTGTTATGTTTAAACACATTACTCTTACCAAAATTTGCTGATTGCTTGCGGGCGATGCTCATAAATTTGTTTGTTTACATTTGTTCAATTTTCATTTTGACGTTTCTTCTCATTTGACAATTAATGTTGCCAGCAACGTTTCACGGCATGCCAAATGCATGTTGCTGGCGAAATTCCACGGCTATGAAGTCAGTACTAGCCTTTATGTGCGATAAATGTGGAACTAAATAGTTAAAAATTCTCATTTAAAACGAAGTATCGACATTTGTATTATTTTTATTAGAGATTTTCATTATATATCGAAGCATCGATTTTTATGAAAAAAACGCCGCAGGCGAAAAGTTTGTTAAGGGCCGTTTGCACCATGTCTAGTTAACGCTAACTGGAGGTACATCCTTCAGTTAAGCACGTTAACTGCTTTATCGATCACATGTTATATGATGGGTGTCGATAACGTCGATAAAGATGTTTAACTGGGAGTTAGAATTAACTCGACATGGTGCAAACGGCCCTAAGTGTCGAGATCTAAAACTGTTCAGCTACAGAACTAAATTCATCAGCCGATTTTATGTCTTTATTTTAATGATTCATTTATTGAGAGAGGACAGTATCGATTTCTTAATGCTGAAAAGCGGATCTGATATATCAAACGTGCTGGAATGAGAGTTAAAATCCTGGCATAAGCAACGGAGTGGGTCGTGCAATTCAAAATTAGTTTTACAAGCTTTCAGAAATAGGGGGCAAAAGTGTATTGATACCCGGGAGAGAACATTAAGGCTAATACTATGTCTCCATTGTGAGATTTAATGAAGATTTAGCCCTCTGACGAGATTTGACGTTAAATCTTTTGAGATTTACCATATAAAATTAAATCTCGAAAGGCAGTAGATTTAAGTTAAATCTTCGTCAAATCTTCAATAATATTGATCAATAAGTACAATTTGTCGGATGTGGCAACCACACATTCACATGCCATAAGTCAAATGACATTTGTGTTTTCAATATACAGTTGAGGACATTGAAATCTAGCCTATTTTTACCTTCCCTTTATTAACTCGGGATGTAACTATGTAATATTGATGCGCCTAAAAGATGCAGCAATTTCTATTCTCAAATTACATACCTGATGACAGTACGAATGGCAATTATAATAGGGAGGTTTTAGTTTTTTAAACTATAATTTTATTATACTTTTGTTAGTTTGGGAGGGAAATTAGTAATACATATTTACATAACTTTGGTTGTAATAAATTAAGAAAATATTATTGTAAAAACTAAAAATTTAGAAGAAATGTTTTATAGTAATATCATGCAGAGTCTTCTCCGCTTTCTATAAGTCATTTACGCGCTGCGACCAAAAATTTATAAATTTAGGTAATGGTTCTGCTTCGATAACATTGCACCGAACATCCTCTAGAACTCAGTACGTATTCATTATATGCCAAAGGCCCACGATTGGATTTTCGGTTCCCTCCTATGAATAAGAGAGTTCTACAAAAATTTTTCTTTCCGCAAATGTTTTTTACCGTTTTGATAATTTGTCTTAAATTCGGGAAAATGTTTCGGAATATGGTACCATTCTTTACACTTTCCCAACTATATATTATACATACATATTTACCACGAATAAGAAGCCAATAATATTCAGAATTCATATAATGAAATTCCGCTTGGTACTCTCCTTTTATCTGTCTGTATATCAATGTCCGCAACTGTATTTATAAAATCATACATAAACAAACGTCAAATATTTAAAAATGTGAACGTCAAACATATCTCGTTGTGGTAATGGAGACGGTTGTGATTTAGCAACTGGATTTATTAAATCTTAATGGATAAATCTCTCAATGGAGACATAGTATAACTTCGCCAAGAAGAAGCGGACTTGAAATTGAGCCTGTTAGTAATTTAACTATAAAAATTGTAGCAAGCATTTGCCTGCGGCTGGAAAGTGTAGGAAGATTAATAAGTTTTAATCGGCTCGTATAAGGTGGAAGGTTATATTGAGAATCCCAACGGAAATTTCTTGAAGCAAGAAGTAGGAATTGTTTTTGAATTGATTCTATCTTGTCTGAGTAAATTTGATACCTTGGATTCCAAACCACCGAACCGTATTCCAGAATTGGCCTAACTAATGTTGTAAACAGGGTTTTAGTGATATAAGGGTCACAAAATTCTTTTGACCATCGTTTCACAAATGCAAGTACACCTTTAGCCTTGTTGACTGTCACATTAATATGAAGATTAAAATTAAGCTTAGGATCCATTGTGATACCAAGGTCCACAAAATTTGTATACCTGTTCCAGGTTATGGTTACCTACTGTATAAGAAGCGGGATGAACAGCTCTTCGCGGGAAGCTCATTACTTTACATTTCTTAAGATTTAGAGGCATAAGATTTACTTGACACCAGTAAGCCATGCTGTCTAAGTCTGATTGTAGCAAAGATACGTACGATTTATAAAGCTTTACATCATCTGCATACATTAAAATTTTGGAAAATTGTATATCTGTAGAAATATCGTTTATAAAAAGCAAGAACAGAACCGGGCCTAGGTGGCTACCTTGAGGGACTCCTGAAGTAACATCAATGACGTCAGGGATAGTATTTTTAAACATTACCCTTTGTGATCTATCATAGAGGTATGAAGAGATCCAACGTAGAAAATTAGGTGGAAGACCAAGAAGATCAAGTTTGTAGATGAGCAACGAGTGGCACACTTTGTCAAATGCTTTACTGAAATCCGTATATAAAACATCAACAGATTTGCTTTCACTAAATGCTTTTGAGATATAGGATGTTAATTCAAGTAAATTTGTAGAAGTTGATTTGCCCTTGCAAAATCCATGTTGACTATATGAAATGCTAGAAGAGATAGAATGCGTCAACTGATTTGTTATAATTGCTTCAAATAATTTAGGAATTGCAGAAAGCTTAGCTATTCCCCGGTAGTTCTCCACTGAAGATCTGCTACCGCTTTTATGTAACGGGGTTATGAACGATTCCTTCCATATAGTAGGAAAAACGCCCTCTTTAAGAGATAAATTAAATAACGCTGTTAACGGCTCATAGAGATAATAAGAACAACTTATAAGAATACAAGTAGGGATCTGGTTAGGACCATAACTGAAGGACTGCTTTAAGGATTTCAGATAAACTACTACATCATCGGGAGATATTACTGGGATATTTATTGAGTTCATTGGACATAGTTTAAAAGGATAGTCAATGTTAGCATGTGAGTTAATGGAATAATGGGATTTAAAAAACTGAGCGAACATGTTAGAAATTGCTTGATTATCACTAGAGACGGTATTTTGATACTTCATGGCGGAAGGAAACCCACGTACATTTCGCTTGGAGTTTACGAAGTCATAAAATGATTTGGGGTTATATATTATATGCCGTTTGATTTTACACAAGTAAGCTTTATAACACTTTTTGTTTAATTCAAAAAACTTATGACGCAAAAGTGAGTATTTTACATAGTATGAGTGTAAACCGGTTTTTTTGTGTAATCTAAAATACCGCGACTTTCTGTTTTTCAAATTTCTCAGTTCTTTAGTGAACCATAACTGTGTTTGCTCTTCAGGAACATACATGCGTTTAGGCAAATAATTTATGTAAATAAAGTTAAAAAGTGCAACGCTTTGTTCAATATTTTCTTTAAATGCAGGCCACGACAATTTAGACAGTTCTTTGTTAAGCATTTTGAAGTTGGCTTTCGAAAAATCAAAGCGAATATTTGGTTCGTATGCTTGGGTACTGCAATTTTGACAATCACTTATAATTTCGTAAGATACCTCCATAGCAGGGTTGTAGACATCTTCGGGCAAAACTAGTGGATCACACTTATTTACAACGGACTTAGATGCATCATCAACATAAACAAGATCTAATACTTTACCAAACTTATTGTGAAGTACATTAACCTGAGTTAGGCACAGTTCAGCCATCTCCTCTAAAAATACGTTGTTGCACGCACTAGACGCGAAAGGTATGATATCATTGTCAATGATATTCCATGATATGCTTGGTAAATTAAAATCACCCAACACAATCATTGAATCAGAGGGTTTAGTCAGTAAATTAACTGATTTCAATAAAGAGATGAGTCGTGAATACACCAATGCGTCAGATCGGGGAGGGATATAGCATAGAGCTAAGTAAATAGACCCTTTTCCAGCCTGTACAGGAATGCATTTGAACTCTACTGAATTAATGTGTGGAAGACATCTTCAGATGGTATTGAAGAGTCTACAGCGAAGAGTACGCCACCGCCGATTCTGTCCTCCCTATCTTGTCTATAGATATGATAATTATTTGGAAGAATCTCTGAATAGAAAATGTGAGGTTTCAGTCAAGTTTCAGTAAAAGAAAGAATATTAGAATTACATTCAACGCCTTTAAAGTAAAAGTTCGTAATTAAATACTAAGCCTCTTACATTTTGGTAATAAATACTTAAAGCAGGTGTAAAATTTACTTTTTGATTCAGTGTTATGACGGGAAATATTAGCTAAGTTATTTACTTTTTTGGGCCTATATTTGAATTCACGAACGAAACCTCCGGGGGGCCAAAAAGAACTCCTAAGCAGCGCATTAAAATTATCTAAATTTACGTCAATTTTAAATGAAGCAATATTTCTTTCGTAATTAAAATTAAATTTTCTGATGCTTAAGTCGACAGTTGTAATTTTTGATGAGATATAAAGCTTTATATCGTCTTCGGTAGTGTCTCTCGAAAATCTAGAAACAAAGATCGACTTCTTTGGCGGAACCACAACTAGTTTCCTCGTATCAGACTGGACTACCGGCGGAGGGGGTTGAGTTACTGCGTTAGTAGTTGAGGATAGGGAAGGCGGTGGAGGCTTTGAAGATGATGCCACCACTTCAATGGGGGAAGGGGAAGATACTTCAGGCTCTTTATTATCCGAAGCAGATTTCGTTACACCGTCTTTTGAGGCTGAGGATTCTGATGCTGGAGGACACGGAGAAGATAAATTAATTAAGTCCGTCGGAAGATTATTCTGACGTGCAACGGCAGCAATTTCCTTAGATGGAGTATGAAGACGCTTACGTTTAGACACACGGATATCCTTAACAAATTGCAAGGTATCTAAGCATTTTAATGATTTAAACATATTTTCATAATGCTTAAATTTTTCTGTCAGTACCGACAATTCTCTTCCTATTTCTGTAAAACCATTTCTGGTTTACCTAAATAGCTTGAAAAGATCAATTTCGGTTGACCTGCACTTTACGCAAGACCAGCGAAGGCCCTTGCC